ATGGCGCCGGTCACGATTTGCACCCCCACTCTTGGACACCCCCCTCTCGGCCGCCCCCGACGAAAGGAGAGCGAGCGCAAGAGCGCGAGGCCAGCGTGGAAGCGCAGACCCACGGGCTCGCGAAGATAAAGGGCGGCCGATTGATTGAGCCCGACTGGGCCAACGGCCTCGGCCAAACCCGCCGACAGGACAAAGGAGTCGGTCCTCCTGGGCGGCGACCGAGCAGTAGAACATGTTGGTCCAGCCGAGCTTGCGGGAGATTCCGAAACCATCAGCTCCTCGGGTTCCACGAGGAAGTCGCCGCCCAAGCAAGAACGGCAACCCCGACGTCGAGAAACTCGACCCCGGCAAACTCAGCAGCTCCAGGCTCCGGCTCACCTCAGACAGCCCCTCGCTGTCGCGGGGATCAGAAGTCCCAGCTAGGCACTGCTAGCTTCCAGGAGGGCGGGCACTGGCCGCGAGGACGCTGGGCCCCGACACAAAAAGCTGAGCCGGGGCCGAGTGGAGGCCCGTCCATCCACGGGCCACGCTGGCCACGCCAGGAGGCGGGCCCCCTTTTTCCAGGGCCGGCGGCCCCCAAGGTCCACGGAGAGCGAAGGCACCGCTGCGGGTTTGTACCCGCAGCGGTGCGTTCACTGAATGTTTGCCCCTAGCTTTCGCCACTGCTTAGTAGTCGTTTTACGGAAACGCTGCCACCTTTTTGTCCTCCGCCAAGACCGTTGAATTCCGGACGAAAAAAAAAAAAAAAGGTCCACGGAGAGCGCCAGCCATTCCTGCATCACCACGCCGAGGCCATGTCCGGGCCATCCCGGGTGATGACCTCGTGCTCCTCTACCAAAGCAAGATGGGCCCCGCAGGGGCCGAACCACTCCGCGGCGGCCACCAACGCGCCGCCATTCGCCCCCTGCACACGGAGCTCCATATTCTCAAGACGGGGCGGCGGGGGAGATCGGATGGCTCGGAGCGACAGCTCCAGAGAAAGAGAGAGAGAGAGCGAGAGGGGGGGGGGGGGGGAAAAAAACAAAAAAAAAAAAAAAAAAAAAAAAAAAAAAAAAAAAAAAAAAAAAAAAAAACGCTAGGTAGACGAGAAAGGGCCACCCCCTGACGAGATGGCTGCCCCATCGGCAGCTCGGGGGGCCGCTGCGCCGGGAGAGCAGGAGCAGGGGGCGCCGAGAGGGGGTAGGAGATGCAGCGCTCGCCCCCTCCCTGACCAGGAGGGCTTAAATCAGGAGGGAAACACAATTGATCGACGATTCCCTAAGAAAACATAGGAAAATAGGGAAAGCGGGGGGGAAAACAAAAGCCCAGAACCTATGGGAAACTAATTGGGAAATCCTGGTATTTGTGTGTGTGTATCTGTTTGCACTCAGGTCACGCCCCCCCCCCCCCGCAGATGCGTCAACCCAGACTGCCAACCAAGCCGCTTCGGGCCTGCAGGGGGGCCGAGCGAGACGGAGGCTGCTCGGGGCGGAGGCGCCAGCGCGGACGCGGTCCAGCAGGTCATCGACCGACGCAGCAGCCCTGCCACCTGCTTTTGCCCGCAGCCCCCGCGGGCTCGGGCCCAGCAGGGGCCCCAGGAGCAGAAGAGGCGGCGCTAGGCGACGGCGCAGGGGCCGCCTCGCCGCCAGCCGCCATCGGCGCGACGCCTCTTGGCCGCCAGGCGAGTCGCCGCGGCCCGCAGGGCCGCGCGCGTTGCTCAGGCCGCGTCGGCCGCCTTGGCGAAAAGCTCGCGGGCCATGCCCTGCAGGCCCTCGTGGAGCCGTTCACGCCGCGCTCGTGTCTCTTGGAGGCCTTCTGGCGAAAGCTCAGCATCAGCATCCACGATGAAGACGCCGCCCACGTCGATACTGAATGCGCCCCACCTGCCTAGCGAGCAGGCTATCCAAAGAAATCCTCAGCAGCTCCACGCGGGCGCCCTGCCCACCTTTCGAAACGCTGGCAGCGGCAACCTTCCCGGCGAGCTCGGTGCGCGCGATGTCCAGATGCCCCGGCCCATCAGCCATGGTAGCCAAGTGGCGCTTCTGGGCCTCGAGTTGCCCCTCGGATTGCCTGATATTGCGCAGCTCGTGTCCCATCTGCTTGCCATGACGCAGCCGCTCCTCCTGGCCCCCTGGCACCGGCCGCTTTGCTCCTCCAGCGACGCGAGGACCTTGGGCGCTGGGCGTAGGGCGTGGAGTGGAGCACGACATCGCGTGGCCTCGGTGCCGCTCCCCGCTTTGTCATGCAGGTGAATGAGATGAAGCTCGCGAGCTCCTCCTCCGTGAAGCTGGCCGCAGACTTCGGCTCCTGGAGCCCACCTTGTGGTTCATAGACCAAAGGCAGCCTGCGAAACGCGCTGACCAGGACGGACGACACCCCGGAGTCGGAGCTTTGCCGCCGCGATGTGCTTCAGCGCGTGCACCGCGACCTCTTCCTGGATACGGCATGGACCACAGGACACGGACCAGCTCGCGCCGTTGAAGTACAGTCAAAAACCCTAGTAAGGACGCGCGACTTTGCCCAGGGTACCCTTGCGTCCTTGCTCTTCCTTGCTCTTGCGTCCTTGAGGCTTTCGTCGTCCGCCGCCCCAAAAATCCCAACTTCGGCTTCCAAGGGTCTTGCGTCCTTACCGCGCGTCCTCATTAGGGTTTTTGACTGTAGGGGGCCTGCGGGCCAGTGTTGAACGGCGAGCGGGCGTGGGGAACGGCACCGTTTGCCCAAGCACCAGAGGGCCGAGCACGAGGCACAGGCGGAACTCCACCACCGTACGTCGCCAGGAGCAGCTCTTTGCACGCGAGTGCGGTGATCGGAGTCTTGCCACAACCGCAGTTAATTAACGCACAGCCACATTTTCCGTTGGACGGTCTTGGGCTTTGAACTGTTGACGGCAGTTAATGCACAGCCACATTTTCCGTTGGACGGTCTGGGGCTTCGAGCTGTTGACGGCATCTTTGCCATCCTGGCACGTCCACGGCTTGCGAGAGAAACCATGATCCATCGGGCACGGCAGGAAGGCACAAGGGTGGGCCAGGGCCTAGCACAGGACGCGGAAGAGCGGACTTTGTGCAAGGCGGACTCTGGGCAGTGGCGATGGATGCAGAAGTGCTCAGGGGAAACCAGGGAAAGGGGATGTCACCACCCACCAAACCACCCCAACCCAACCCGAAGGCCCAAATTTATCCTCGATTTCCAGTGGGGGGGGGGGGTCGGGGAACGTTGAAAAAACACATGGTATCCATACCCCCCCAACCCGAAATTCGGGTCAAATTCGGGTCTTCGGGTTGGGTTGGGGTGGTCTGGTAGGTAGTCAGGGTGGGGCCGCGAATCCCCCCTGCTAGCAGGGACAAGTGTGTGGGCGAAAAACGCTGCGGAATGGAGCCGAAGCGGCTACGGAGGGGCGAGGTTCGAGGCTCTGGGCCCGAGAAGGATGTGTGCTTGCCTTGCTCGGCCTCTGGGGGGCCACGGCCCCAAGGCCATCAAAATGGATCTGGGGCGAAAAACTACACCTTAGGCGATGCTTAAGAAAACCTAAAGTTTCGGCCAGAGTCTCGATTATTCTTAATTTTTGAATGTAAATCCCAAGATTTTGATAGAAGTTCTGGGTTTTAGTCAATTTCTGAGACTGTCAATTTCTTAACCCATGATTTCTTAAGCATTTCGCAGGGTGTACACCAGATGCAGGAGTGCCTTGAGCGGATGTGCCTTGATCCCGTCGCCTTGCCAGATTTCCTCGGAGCCCGTCCGGCTCAGACCCCATGGCCGCCTCCAGGTTCGGAGAAGAAAAACGGCGCAAGCATGAATTGTCGGAGTTTTGCGCGGAAATCTTGGATCGCCGTTGGGCACCCCCCCTCCTTGGCGCCGCCAGATGGGCCCGGCGCAGGTCCAAGAGATCCGCGTGGACCTCCAAAAGCTTCTGTTGGTGCGTCTGTATCCTCATACGCGGCTGCTGATCACCTTATCTAGTGTGTTTCGAAACCTTCCTGTGTGTTGGGTCCTCGTTTTGAATTAGGAGTTCCGCGCGTCTCTTCCTCCTCCTTCTCCTTCCTTTTCCTCTTCCTCTTCATCCTCTTCCCTCTTCTGCACACCTCTCACACCTGTCGTGGCCCCATCGGGAGCACCGAAGGCTCCAACGGCTTCAGCGCATGGTGACCCGCCCCATTTCGGTGCACCCCGTCATGGCCCCATGGGAAGCTCCACCGAAAGCCCCAGCGGCTACGTCCGCATGGTGACCCACTTGATGTCGGCGCACCCCTCGCAAATTTCGTGGCCCGATAAGAAGCCCCCAGTGGCTGCGTCCGCATGGTGACACGCCCCATTTCGGCGCACCCCATCACACGCTTCGTGTCTCCAGCTCCACCGAAGGCCCCAGTGGCTGCGTCCGCATGGTGGACTGCCCCATGTCGGCGCACCCCATCACACGCTTCGTCGCCCCACAAAGTAGCTCCACCGAAAGCCCCAGTGGCAGCGTCCGCATGGTGACCCGCCTCTGTCGGCGCACCCCTCACAAGTTTCGTGGCCCGATAGGGAGCTCCACCGAATGCCCCGGTGGCAGCGTCCGCATGGTGGTATGCCCCCTGTCGGCCCCATAGAGAGGGGGCTCAACCGAAGGCCCGTGCGCATGATGGCCCGCACCATTTCGGCGCGCCCCTCGCGCGCGTCGTGCCAACCCTATTTGCGATTTGAGTCGTGGGAGTGCGTGCGTGAGAGGGCAACGTTGAGTACGGTCTGGCGTTATTCGGCGAAGAGTTCAGGGGTACTGCAGATCGTGTTTAGAAAGTGTTGGGTTCCTCCCCAGGGCAACTGGTTTTCCCTCGAGCTTCTCAAATTGTGCGTACTGCGTGTCTGGGCAAGCAAAGACGTGATCACAGCAGTCGACATTGCAGTCAACACTGATAGTCAGGATGAGCGACTTTCCAAGGTTTCCTTTACATCCGTTTCCTTCGGCCCATCCTTGTCGGCACAGCCCTCAAGGCCCACGCATCCTCATTGTGCATCCTTCCGATCAGTCTGTAGCAGAAGAGGTGCTGCGGCTGCTGCGGGGCGCGGAGGAGGGCACGTTCGATTCCGCGCTGCTGGCGGGGGGCTGGAACCTCCTGAGCCAGGACCAGAGGCCTTCCAGAGGGGCTCCGAGCAGATGGGGTCTGAGGATCTCGCCGCACCGCCGATGCATCGCCGCCGATGCCATGCGCAGCACGCTTGCGGTCCGGCTCTGCCACACCTGGGACAGTGGCGCAGCAAAATTGGGCTAGCATGGCACTGAACAAGCACACCTGGGCTTAAGTCGGGCTTGCCCCCCTACAGGGGGGAAATTTAAAAATCGTCCAAACATAGTCTGGGGACTATCTTTTAAACATTTTGTTCACCATTTGGGAGTTTGTTTTGAGTATTCTTTATTTATCGTCGAAAATCCCCCTGTAGGGAGGCACGCCCGACTTAACCTGGGCCCACGGACTCTGCCACACCCGGGGCATCGGCGACTGCGGTGACGCATCGGCGACGTCAGCATGGGGAAGATCGGGCTCCGCATCTCCAGCCGCATCGGCGATGCGGAGCGATCCTCCGACGCCATCTGCTCGGGGGCCCCCGCCTGGGAGGCCTCGTAAAAGGACGGCCTGCCCTGCCTGCTGGAGTGCCAGCGCCGCGGCATCGAGGTGCAAGTGGCTGGCGTCTTCGGCTCTGGCCTGCTGGTCGGGGTGGACAGGTACGCCTACAAGGCTCGCCGCGAAGCGAGCGTTAGGTCGGGCCCGTCATCCCCTACAGGGGGATGTTCGACGAAAACTAAAACATACCCCCAAAAAGGCCAACAAAAAATATTCAAAAAATAGTCCCCAGGCTATGTTTGGATTATTTTTGGATCATGTTGGGGGTATTTTTCGTTTTTCGTCGAAAATCCCCCTGTAGGGGGATAGGCCCGACTTAAAGCAAGCGGGTCCTGATCGGACGGGGCCAGGACGAGAAGTGTTCCAGAACGCTCTCAGAGCGCTCCTGAACATTCTGAGAAGGCCGCGGTGCCCGATAACGTCATCCAGAGCCTCTGGATCTCAGAGATTCTCGATTTGTCTTCACCCGGTCTTGTCCTCGTCTTGGCTTCGTCTTACCTGAAGGAGAAGGGTCCTCATGTTTTGGGTTTCCGCCGCTTTCTCTACGGGGAAGAAGCACGCTGACCATGACTTAGACGTCGCGAGATCTTGTCGATGCCGATCTTGGTCGTGGTCCATGCCGACCGTCGCCAGTTCGCGAGGATGCTCCACGAATGGACTGCGACCAGATCGACATGACGTTTCCGCATTCTGTACTGGTCGATATCCCCGTTGTCTTCCTCTCCAATGTTCGGGCTCCCGTCGGCACTCCACGGGCCCCGGGGTTGCCTGAAATCCACTCAGGACGGAAAGCCTGGTCCGGGGGGGGGGCAAGTGCGCCCCCGAGGGCGCGAGGTTCTTCACGCTTCGCGGTTCGGCTCCGATGCTTCTTGCCTCCTCCTCCTCCTCCTCCTCCTCCTCCTCCTCCTCCTTCCTCCTCCTTCCTCCTTCCTCCTTCCTCCTTCCTCCTCCTCCTTCCTCCTCCTCCTCCTCCTCCTCCTCCTCCTTCCTCCTCCTCCTCCTCCTCCTCCTCCACTTCTCCCCTGGGGGGCGGCGCGAGAGCGCGCCGCTCTCCGCGCCGCGCGGCTCGCGCAGTGCAGCGCCCCTCTGCGTCCGGGGCCCGTGCTCCCTCGGGGCCCGCCTCCCTCCCCTGCCGGCAGGCGGCGCCCGCGGAGGCGGTGGCTCGGGCGGGCCGCTGGCGCGCGCTGGCCACGAGGCTCGGTGGTTCGACCCGGGAGCCGTGTTTCGGGGGTGGACAGCCTTGACCTTCCAGAGAGCTATTTTTTTAGCACTGGAGAACTAAGAACCTAAAAGACTCAACGAAACAGCCTAAAACCAAGACGTAGAAGAGCTCTGGGATAGGTTTAGAGGTCGGGTGCTATTTTTTAGCCCTCCTGGAAGGTCAGGGGAAGAGGGGGCCCTTCCGTGTCGTTGGTCCGGCCCCCATCCCCATCCTCGCCTTCAGGCCCCCCGGAGACCAGGACACGGATAGACCAGGGCACGGAAGAACCGAGGAAGCGAAACACCCTCTCTTGCAAAGTCACATCTTCCAGCGTCTGTGCCTTTTCTGTTTGCTGCGCTACAGGACTCGCGTTTGTGTCCGGATTTTTCGGGGGGGCTTGCATGCTTTTAGGGCGTGTGTCCGGGTTTATTCTGAAAAATGTTGCAGTGCAGTATGCTTTTCGTGCCGCCGTCTGGAAAATTTGGTTTCGAGGGATGTAAGGTGTCTGGGTCTACGGGGCCCTGACATCCCCTTCGAGACCCCCACCTAATTACCACCCCAGTTGGCGATACACCCCTCGAAACCCGAGGGGACGGCCTATATCCCCTATCTAGGGGGGCAAATCGGCCAGCGGGGCCCAGGCCACGCCGCTGGGGATGGGGATCGGATAAGCAAGACTCAGTCCTGAGGGCTGGAGCCCTGAGGATAGGAAGGGATCCGTGGGCGGATTTACACTGTTTGAGGCACCTCGTCCAGAAATGGAAAGCCACTTGGGTGAGCAAGGCATCAACGAGGGGCGTATCACGCCGATTGCGGAGGTACTCAAACGCCACGCTGGTGAATTTGCCGCCGCCAGCGCAAGCCTGCACAGCTTCGTGGCGACATAAGTTCGCGGCAGTCCTTCACAGCGTGGCTGTCGCTATCTATTCCTGGCGTCACCAGACGCCTCCCCTGCCGGACAGAAGAGCGGGCTACAGTGGAGGCCCATGCCAAGAAACACCTTGCTTGACTCAAGGGTGCCCTGGGTTTCTTGGGGTTCGATGCTTTTGCGATGGACAGCGTGACGTTCCCACACCAAAATTCCATGGGCGTCCTGGGGTCTCCAGGTTGGGTTTCTTGTGGAAGGTTTCTTGTGGTCGGGCCCCTACTGTGGCGCGCGCTGGCCACGAGACCCGGTCGTTCAAACTCGGGGTCCTGAGGGATGGAGTCTTCAGGATAGGAAGGGATCCAAGGTTATGATGTTCCAACATACTTTAGCCCTGATCACCAGAAAGATTTTCGAGCACCAAGAAATACCGAAACGTGAGGGTTCTCACGTGGCGAATCCTGGGAGGCGACAATCCTTCGACACTGTTCCGATGCTCTCTGGGTGCTCGAGATTATTTCTGGGATCTGGTCCTTAAGCACGACGGGAGCAGCATACATCCCAGGGCGGACTTACACTGTAATCGCAGGCCTAGAGGTTGACACCAACACCACTAGCGGCGGTGTGCCTACACCGAGGGAAGAAGATCCCGATCTCAGCGATGGTGGTAATTTGAGGGAGTTTCTGTGGAACTCACGTCATCCTCACCCCTGGCGCGAAGAGCACGAGTCCAGAGCGGCCTCCGGCACCGTTTCCGGACGGATCCGGACGGATCCGCTGGATCCGGGGACGAATCCCAAACCGGCGCCCTCGCCTGAGACATCCCCGCAAAACCGGCCCCGGGGGAGGTGCCCAGAGGAGCCCAGAGCGGCCTCTGGCACCGTTTCCGGACGGATCCGGACGGATCCGCTGGATCCGGGGACGAATCCCAAACCGGCGCCCTCGCCTGAGACATCCCCGCAAAACCGGCCCCGGGGGAGGTGCCCAGAGAAGCCCAGAGCGGCCTCCGGCACCGTTTCCGGACGGATCCGGACGGATCCGCTGGATCCGGGGACGAATCCCAAACCGGCGCCCTCGCCTGAGACATCCCCGCAAAACCGGCCCCGGGGGAGGTGCCCAGAGAAGCCCAGAGCGGCCTCCGGCACCGTTTCCGGACGGATCCGGACGGATCCGCTGGATCCGGGGACGAATCCCAAACCGGCGCCCTCGCCTGAGACATCCCCGCAAAACCGGCCCCGGGGGAGGTGCCCCCAGGAGCCCAGAGCGGCCTCCGGCACCGTTTCCGGACGGATCCGGACGGATCCGCTGGATCCGGGGACGAATCCCAAACCGGCGCCCTCGCCTGAGACATCCCCGCAAAACCGGCCCCGGGGGAGGTGCCCAGAGGAGCCCAGAGCGGCCTCCGGCACCGTTTCCGGACGGATCCGGACGGATCCGCTGGATCCGGGGACGAATCCCAACCGGCGCCCTCGCCTGAGACATCCCCGCAAAACCGGCCCCGGGGGAGGTGCCCAGAGGAGCCCAGAGCGGCCTCCGGCACCGTTTCCGGACGGATCCGGACGGATCCGCTGGATCCGGGACGAATCCCAAACCGGCGCCCTCGCCTGAGCCTGAGACATCCTCACAAAACGGGCCCCGGGGGGGATGCCCAGAGGAGGAGCCCGGACGGAGCTGGATCCCTCGGTGGCGAACCGTCCTTGCCCAGAGGAGCCCAGAGCGGCCTCCGGCACCGTTTCCGGACGGATCCGCTGGATCCGGGGATGACGAATCCCAAACCGGCGCCCTCGCTTGAGACATCCTCACAAAACCGGCCCCGGGGGAGGTGCCCAGAGAAGCCCAGAGCGGCCTCCGGCACCGTTTCCGGACAGATCCGGTGGATCCGGTGGATCCGCCGACGAATCCCAAACCGGCGCCCTCGCTTGAGACATCCTCACAAAACCGGCCCCGGGGGAGGTGCCCAGAGGAGCCCAGAGCGGCCTCCGGCACCGTTTCCGGACAGATCCGGTGGATCCGGTGACGAATCCCAAACCGGCGCCCTCGCTTGAGACATCCTCACAAAACCGGCCCCGGGGGAGGTGCCCAGAGGAGCCCAGAGCGGCCTCCGGCACCGTTTCCGGACAGAGATCCGCTGGATCCGCTGGATCCGGTGACGAATCCCAAACCGGCGCCCTCGCTTGAGACATCCTCACAAAACCGGCCCCGGGGGAGGTGCCCAGAGGAGCCCAGAGCGGCATCCGGCACCGTTTCCGGACAGATCCGGACAGATCCGGTGGATCCGCGCCCCGGGGGAGGTGCCCAGAGGAGGAATGAGGAGGAGGAGGAGGAGGAGGAGGAGGAGGAGGAGGAGGAGGAGGAGGAGGAGGAGGAGGAGAAGATGATGGAGCTGCGGGGTGGAGGAGGACAGACGGAGGCAAGAGAAGGATGGAGGAGGAGGAGGAGGAGGAGGAGGAGGAGGAGGAGGAGGAGGAGGAACCTCATCACCCTCGCCATCAAGCGCACGCACCTTCTTCTATATACAGAAACTCCCGATCAACCGCAGAGCGGCCGGCTAGTAATCTGGCTGCCAAGGTGACCGAAATATGACCACCAACACCGAAGTCTAGGATCCTGTCCCCCCCGTGGAGGCGACCCCTTGTGCTGGTGTGGGTGCCCATGTCCAGGCCTCCAATGCTAGGGGCACCTCGCCCCGGGGGCGGACTTGCAGCCAAGACGCTGAAGTAAGGAACGCCTCGGATGCGGAAGGGGCTCGCTGCTCCTTGAGCTCTTCCATGGCTCCTCCTCCATCACTCCTCGTGCACCTGGGCGCTTCTGGGGCCAAGAAGGGGCCTCGTTCCTCATTCGGCGCTCCTTCTGATCGTGCCTCGACTGTACACTGGTTGGGGGCACCCCGTCCCGAGGACCCCACCCCTCAGGGACCCCGTCCTTGAGCCACCCATCGAGGCACGCCAGCACGCTGCCCGCGGTGGCGCTGGCCTTCGCCGCGCTGCCGGCGGTGGTCTCCCGCGTGGTGCTGGGCACCTCCGGGGGGGGGGGGGTCGGGCTGGCCGTCCACCGGCGCCGACGTCTCGGGGGCCCCCCATCAGAGGCGACGATAGGGGCGAATAGCCCAGGGGAGAGCAATACATGTATTCAGGTGCGCCGATGATCTATGTCTTCGAAAAGGCTCCCGGGCGAATACGTGTAATGCGCGCCCCTGGGCTATTATTCGCCCCTATCGTCGCCGCCGGCCCCAGACGGCGCGGTGACCACACCGTTGTTGGTGAGTCAGCGAGGATCCGGGGTGACCTCACGGTCCCAGACCCCTCGAGCAATGAGAGAGTCATGGCGGGAGGTTTCTCTAGATCTTCGGCCTCCGGGGGCCCTCACCAGGCCTCGGGAGCGCCAAGGAACGACTCAGGATGCAAAGCCAGTCATGAGGAAAGGGTCGGAACCTCAGGGGGTCGACGTAACGAAAAAAACTTTACGTCGGGGGTCTGGGGTGTTGGGGCTCTGGTCGTTGTTCGAGGACGTCTCGGGCGACTGGGGCCTCCAAGGTCCCAAAGACCGTGCGGTGATGGACCGTGCGGTGATGGACCGTGCGGTGAGGTCCTCCAGGATTCCGAGGTCACCGCACGTTGTGTCACCGCACCGTCTCGAGACTCCCCAGAGTCGGGCACATGCCCCTCTACGGGAGGAACATTCAAAAATTGTGAGAAAAAAAGCCTGGGAACGATGTGTTCTATTATTTGTTTTGCGTATGTTTGAGCATTATTGGGGTATGTCTTATTGCTAAGGCCTTACGGCCCGGTGCCGCCGACCCTGAAGACGACGACGACGACGAATACGAGGAGGAGGAGGAGGAGGAGGAGGAGGAGGAGGAGGAGGGGGGTCAAGGTGGAAGGGAGCAGGAGAAGGCGAAGGAGATGTTCCCCATGTGGGCCGAGGGGTTCTTTGCTTTGCGTGTGCTTGAGCACTCTTGGGGTATGCTGTATCTGTCGTCCGAAGCCCGCCCGTGGTAGGAGGACACGCCCGATCCAAGCCTGGCCCCCGGGGAGGGCCTGGGCCCCTACAGGGATATTCTCGACGAGAAACAAAAAGTACCCCCAAAAATAGTCCAAACATAGTCTGGGGACTCTGTTTTGAGTATTCTGTTCTGCCTCCTTGGGGCATTTTGGGGGTAGTTGTTTCTGTGTTCGTCGAAAGTCCCCCCTGCAGGGGGACACGCCCGACCCAAGCCTGGCCCCCGGGGAGGGCCTGTGCCCCTACAGGGACATCCTCGACGAAAAATAAAAAAAGTACCCCCTAAAATAGTCCAACCATGGTCTGGGGACTCTGTTTGGGGCATTCTGGTTTGCCTCCTTGGGGCATTTTGGGGGTATTTGTTTTCGTGTTCGTCGAAAAGTCCCCCCTGCAGGGGGACACGCCCGACCCAAAGCCCGGCCCCCGGGGAGGGCCTGGGCCCCTACAGGGATATCCTCGACGAGAAACAAAAAGTACCCCCTAAAATAGTCCAACCATGGTCTGGGGACTCTGTTTGGGGCATTCTGGTTTGCCTCCTTGGAGCATTTTGGGGGCATTTGTTTTCCGTGTTCGTCGAAAAGTCCCCCCTGCAGGGGGGACACGCCCGACCCAAAGCCCGGCCCCCGGGGAGGGCCTGGGCCCCTACAGGGATATCCTCGACGAGAAACAAAAAGTACCCCCTAAAATAGTCCAACCATGGTCTGGGGACTCTGTTTGGGGCACTCTGGTCTGCCTCCCTGGGGCATTTTGGGGGTATTTGTTTTCGTGTTCGTCGAAAAGTCCCCCCTGCAGGGGGGACACGCCCGACCCAAAGCCCGGCCCCCGGGGAGGGCCTGGGCCCCTACAGGGATATCCTCGACGAAAAATACAAAGTACCCCCTAAAATAGTCCAACCATGGTCTGGGGACTCTGTTTGGGGCATTCTGGTTTGCCTCCTTGGAGCATTTTGGGGGCATTTGTTTTCCGTGTTCGTCGAAAAGTCCCCCCTGCAGGGGGGACACGCCCGACCCAAAGCCCGGCCCCCGGGAAGGGCCTGGGCCCCTACAGGGATATCCTCGACGAGAAATACAAAATACCCCCCAAAATAGTCCAACCATGGTCTGGGGACTCTGTTTGGGGTATTCTGGTTTGCCTCCTTGGGGCATCTTGGGGGCATTTGTTTTCCGCGTTCGTCGAAAAGTCCCCCCTGCAGGGGGGACACGCCCGACCCAAAGCCCGGCCCCCGGGAAGGGCCCGGGGGCCCGAGGAGCGGCGCTCGCGGGCCTCCCTGCGCCCGGGCCAGGAGGGCGCGTGCACGGGGCTCCCGGGCCCAGGGCAGGCCAGGAGCGGCGCCTCGACGGAGGGAGAAGAGGAAGAGGAAGAGGAAGAGGACGAAGAAGAGGAAGACGACGAAGAAGAGGAGGACGAAGAGGGAGGAGAAGAGGAGGAAGAAGAAGAGGAAGACGACGAAGAAGAGGAGGAGGAATAATCAGAAGAAGAAGAAGAGGAATGAGAACAGGAAGAGGAAGAGGAAAGGGAAGAAGAAGAGGAAGAGGAAGAGGAAGGAGAGGGAGAAGAAGAGGAAGAAGAGGAGAAGGAGGAGGAAGATGAAGAAGCATTGAGCCAAGATGTTCGGAGCTCCGCGCGGATTTCTTGGATCTGCGCTGGATCCCCCTGGCGCCGCCTCCGGCGCCGCTGCTGGCTCCGCGCGCCAGGGAGGGGGAGCTCGGCGCAGATCCGAGAGTTTCGCGCGGAACTCCGAGAGTGTATGTTTGTGCCGTTCTCCCTTCCTCTAGACCAGTCGAAACCGATACCAAGGATGGGCAGCCCTCACAAGGGTACCCTTGCGTCCGTGCCCCCTCGGTACATCCTTAACCTCTTTCGATGGCCAGCCCCGCTCGAAAAGCTTCGGCACAGGCATCCAAGGCCCTTGCATCCTTCGCGCGCATCCATGCGATCAGTCTTGACTGTACTCGCCGATCCTGGGCCTGGGGGGGGGGAAGAGGAGGAGGAGGAGGAGGAGGAGGAGGAGGAGGAGGAGGAGGAGGAGGAGGAGGAGGAGGAGGAGGGGGAAGGGGAGGGGGGCGAGAAGTGGTGTGGGTGGACAGCTGGTGCCCCCCCAGGCATGGCGACGCCAGCGCAGGTGAGCGGCGCCACAAAACCGCTGTCGTCCTCGCCGACCTTCGCACGCAGGCTGCCCGCGTGAGGGTTCGCTGTGAGCGCCCTTGTCCTCCACGCAGGGTGCCGCGCTGGCAGCCCGCGCACGGTCGGACCGAGGTAGAAGATCGAGGTCAGATCGGGGAGTGTACTCCAGATTTCGTAATAAAGGGAGGGGGGTCTCATTTCGGGGGGGTCTCTTCTAGGCTATCTTGGAGGGCCTGGGGGGTCTGGGGACGATGTTTTGGAGGGTTCTCCCACGGGGGAGGTCTGAAAAGGCTTGTCTTGGAGGGTCCAGACCCCCTCCCTTTTATTACGAAATCTGGAGTACCCGAATGTCCCTCGTGTTTGCCGATGCTCTCGTGCACCCTGGGGAAGAGCACCCTCGAGGATCCTTCCGCATGGCAGGCGGAGGGCCTCAGACTGCAAGCCGCGGCGTGTGGCCGCCGCGCCATCTCGCGTGTAAGGCTCGTGTCTGTGGGTCGTCGCCCAGGTGGGCCGCGCTGGCGGCCCGCGCAAGCCGCGGTGCAGGGTCGCCCCACTCGGCGGCGAGGCCAGGGGGGAAGTGCGGAGGAGGAGGCCTTCTCGGAGGGCTCGGAAGGCCCCCGGGCCTCCCGAGCAGAGTCCTGTGCGCCGCCCCCGGGGGCAGCGAGCCGCTTCTCGGGGGGCGCGAGGGCCTCTTCGGGAGCCCTCTGGGGTCAGGCCCTCGCCTCCTCGCGTTCCCCCCCCCCCCCTCGCTCGCCGCCGAGCCGCGCCGCATCGCGCAGGGCCCGCTCTGTGCCGCGCCGCCCGGGTGGCCGCTCGGGATGACCCTGGGCGCCCCAGGAGCGCCCCCGGCGAGGCGCGGCTGCCGGAAGGCACCCCGAGGCCGACAGACCGCCGAGGACCGATGCCACCGTCCTCGAGCCTCCAATCTCGGCATCGGCGAACCGATCCCCATCCCGACCCCCATCCCCCCCGAGACCCCCACCAAGCTACCACCCCAGTTGGGGATACACCCCCCCCTATCGAAGCCCGAAGGGAGCGACCCACATCCCCCCATCCAGGGGGGGGGGAGCAGATCGGCCAGCGGGGCCCAGGCCACGCCGCTGGGGCTGGGGAGGGGTGCAACGGTACTCAGAACCTCGCCCTCGGGCCTCGCCCTTCGCCGCCCAGGTGGAGGAGGCGGTCGCCCTCCTGCCCGCCGCGGCGGCGGTGCCCGCCGCCCTCTGGCGGGAGGCCCGGGAGGCCGGGCTGCTGGCCGACGGCGTGCCTCTGCCGCCCTGAGGGCGCGGCGCGGGGGGCCCTCCCTGCCCGCCACGGAGAAATCGGCGGCGAGCGAGGCGGAGGAGGAGGAGGAGGAGGAGGAGGAGGAGGAGGAGGAGGAGGAGGAGTCGAGGCTCGAGGCTCGAGGCTTTCGGGCGGCGGCGTCGGTTCTCGGCGGGTTGTTTCGGCCGCGGGAGGCCTGCCAGCGGCTGCGCCTCGCCGGGGGGGCGTTCCCCCGGGGTGCCCGGAGCCACCCGCCCGAGGCCCGAGTTATGGCCCGATAACTATAGACTCGGCGGCGCGCCCAGGGGGAAGTGAGAAGGAGAACGCATTCTCAAAAGTCAGGAAGGGAAAAAGCACACAGACACAATGAATCGGCGATTCCTCAGAAAATATGGGAAAATATGGGAAGTGGGGGGGAAGACAAAAACCCAGAAAATATGGTAAAATATGGGGAATCATTTTATTTGTGTGTATTTATTTGTGTGTCCCAGGGCCCCTTCAATAAGGCGGTGGGACTTCTCATAAGCCCTTCGGCCTTCGGAAAAGGCTGTCCGTGTCTTCGGGAGGGGGGGCTTGGGGAGTTTCTCCGGAGGCCTGGGGCCGTCCGAGCCTTCTGAGAGGGCCCGCCCCGTCTCACTTCCCTCCCAGGGCCTACCATCGGAAAAGCTATGGGCCTCCCAGATGGCTGGGCATCGCTCGGACATGTGCCTGTCTGTCTTCGGCGAGGACCGTCGAGGGGCATCGTTGGTCATCTTGGAAAAAATATGTTTCCAAGATGATGCGTCGATTAAACGCGCGTCTATTAGACGCGCGAGGCTGACACATTCACGAGTAGTGGACTTCCGAGCGATGGCGAGATGAGCGTACAAGAAGCCAGTTCGCGCAAGTCCTGCATGTGAAAATCCTGCATGTGAGAATCTCGCATGAGAAAAGCAGGGCGCGGCGGGATCGCACTCAGAAAACACGAAAGAGGAGCTCGCTCGAGCAGAACATGTGCGTAAAAGACACTACGCGGAGGGGGAGGGGCGGCCACTTTCCGGCCAGACTCGCAGGAGACAGGAGAATCGTATTCATGCTGCGCAGGTAGTCTTTGAAGTGGGGTAAAGACCGCAGAAGGTATCCATAAACCGCCACCGTGCCAGGCCAGGCGCATCCCGGGGCCAGGGCCCCGGCTGGGCAAAATGGTGGTGGCGAAGAGGTGCCCCTTGCGCAGAGCAGGCGGAGGACGAGGACGGACGCGGGACGCGGCGCACGGAGCCGAAGGGGAGGAAAGGGCGGAGGAGAAGAGGAGGATGGAGGAAAAGGAGGAGGAGGAGGAGGAGGAGGAGAGCAGGATTGAGGAGGAGGAGGAGGAGGATTGAGGATTGAGGAGGAGGAGGAGGAAGAGGATAAGGAGGAGGAGTTGGAGGAGGAGGTGTGGAGTGACGGACTTTGCCATTATGTTGTTTTTCAGTCGGTTGGCGTACATTGATTTGGCCTCGCGCTTACCAGCAGCTCAATGTGCGGCCATTGCACCCAAGTCGGTTCTACAGGTCTTTGCTCCCGTTTTATTGCCATACGAATGCTTGGATCCCAGCTGACCTAAGTTTGCCGAACGTCGAAAAGGAAGAGGGAGGAGGAGGAGGAGGAGGAGGAGGACAGAGGACAGAGGACAGAGGACGGAGGAGGAGAAGGAGGAAGAGGAGGAGGAGGACGAGGAGGGGGAGGGGGAGGGGGAGGAGGAGCAGGACGAGGAGGAGGAGGAGGAAGAGGAGGAGGAGGAGAGGGAAGCAGAGGAGGAAGGAGGAGGACGGACCAGTGTAAACCCAGGACGCGCCCACGTTGTTGGAATAAACTTGCATTCCAAACTCCCTTTGTTCCGGTGGTCCTTACAAGAATGTATTCTCATTGCGGGAAGTACCTCCTTGGAAGAACACAGTTTGAGAGCCCTCAGTCGACCCGAAACGCAATTCTTGGGACTTCAGTGTTGCGAATCAACGTGGAAGTAACGCGCAACCATCCTCAACCGAGTCAGGGCACCGTCCCCACGACTTCAACACCGCGAATCAATGTTACTGTGGCGTCCTGCCTGCTCAGTCGTGCCAGACATCATTCCTGAGACTTCGGCCCTGCGAGCCGGGAAACTGCTACGAACGTGCGCGGCGTTGAGGCGAGAGTCGCACGTTGAAAACACGTCGCTCGGGGGTTGATAGGCGCCGCGGCCGACATTTCTCCGGGTCCGGGTCCGTCGGTTTCGGTCCCGGGCCGTGTTCACCGAGGGGAGGTTTGCCAAAGGGAGGTGTGGCCACCGCCGAAGGAGCTGCCCTCCATGTGTGAAGCATTTTGCTGGTCTGTACGACGGCGGTGTGCGGCGCTGTGGCGAGAGCCACACTCTGAGAACGGCCCACCCTCCATGTGTGAAGCTGCTGTAGCATGTTAAGACGACGAATGTGTGCGGCGCTGTGGCGAGAGCCACAATTTGGAAACGGCCCG